AATCTTCTAAAAATAAACCTCTCTTTCCTATATTATATACAGCTATGTCATAAGAAATATCCTTATTTATTGCTATCCCTTATATAATCCTCCAAATCATTGTGTACATAGACTCACCATCTTACATTTCTCGTAGCAAATTTTTCTATATAGATCGGCAAATTTTTTAAATGATTATTGTATCACATTACAAACAAACCGTACTGGATAAGTTATACCAGATACCGAGGGATTAAGGTGATCATGGCCTTCAAGTTTTGGAAAGATAATAAGATATTGAATGAAAATATCATTCTTTCTCTTCGACAATTTTTAATCACCATTTATGTTTGCTCGACAGGATTAAGGTGATGATAACCTTAGATATTTGCAAAGTTATTGAATGAAAATATCATATGTTTTTTTTAACGTGAATGAATATCATGGAAAGTTACAATAAGTGGTGATCGGATTCCGCAATCACAATTCAAAACAATATCCCATCTTGAATAACCCATTAGCAAGAAAATATTTCTCTCTTTCCAAATATAAACAATGTTTAAAATGATCTTCAAAGTATTTGGTAACCGTAATAAGTAAGATCGAGTTATATATCAATCACTTGAAATATAGATCAAGAATGTAATACTCTCTTTTGTAATAGTTGGATTTAATTTTTTACATTCAACTAATTCGTTAGCAAACCACTAAGCAAGAGCATCATTCACTTCAAATTCTTTCTCCTCCTTGCATCATACTATAACACAAAGAAAAGCTTAATTTTTAAGTAAGTCCTCCTAAGCTCGATCACTAATCTAAAACCTTCCAAGTCCATGTAGAAAATCAAGATGAAGATCATACAACTTTGGAAACAATACTTTGCTGGTGGTGGTGGTTTGACCATTGAAATGGTTTTTGATCGATTTAAAAGTAAGTTTTCCACATGGTATATTTGTTTCTCGAAACACTCATATATATTAGATGAATTTAACATTTTTTCAAAATATTTTTGATATATGTAGGGTGGCAAGATTAAAAGAGTTGGTCAATCACTTTGATCCATTTCTTACTTAAGATGATACCAAGATTCTCATCAGTTTTGCAGTTTCTCACTCAACCGGTTCATACCAAACCACACATCATACGGCAATGTTGAATTGAATGGAGTAAAGTGTCGCATAAGATTTTGAGTTTGACTTCTTTTTATAATAAGATTAGCTTCCTTTCCACCAAAAGTCGCATAAGATTTAGAGTGGTGAACCAAGGCTTCGTGGCCCAGTGGTAAAGGGGTCACAGCTGTGACTTCCGCCACTTGGGTTCGAGTCCCCTTAGCCACCCGGGTTGCCTTAAATGGTAAGAATACGCGGACTGTCGTGGGCCTCGTGGGATTAGTCTTTGGGCCTAGAAAGCCTTTAGAATCCCCACGGTTATCAAAAAAAAAAAAAAAAAAAAAAAGATTTAGAGTGGTGTATATAGACATCTTTTAGCAAAAAAAAAATTGGAATATAATCTCACCCCGTGCAGAGCGCGGGTCCAATCCTAGTTTATAATAAATCTCAAAACCTAGGAAACCCTAAAATAATAATAGGAAATTATCAAAATAATAATATAAATAATTGAAATATTTCTAAATCTCTCTCTGCATCACAAAGGCAATGGAAGCCCAAAGACAAACTGGAGAACAAACCCAGTCTGCTCCAACGGTAGGATGCAAAAGAAGGAGAAGATAAGCCAAAGGAAGCAGCGAGGAAATTGCCTAAAGCAGATAGTACGGATAAAGTAATCACTACAAATTATGATATCATGACAATTATTGGAGATGGTGGGGATGTGTAACACATGGATATAGTTTGCTTTAGGTTAAAGAAAGATTCTCTCTCAGTTTGTGTATAAATAAGACATCATTAAGTGTTTATGAATAAAATGCAAATCATATTCAGTCAGCTCAAATACTCAGTTTGTATAAATCTCTTCAGAAATTCCATTGAACATCTACTCAGTTTGTATAAATCTCTTCAGAAATTCCACTGGACATCTACAATCAAATAATAATATTTTGAAATGTATACAATTTTTCACTATTATCAAGAAAAATATACTATATATAGTCTGTTCATTGATCCAACTATCCAAGACTGTATTAAGCACATGATATCCATGTGCATTGGTCATACCAGCACAAGGATTCTCCAAATATATTAAAAAAAAAAGTTTTTTTGAAAAAATGATCAATGGTGTGAAGACACCTGATGAGCTTCCTCCCAGAAACGTTTCCTGCATCTCTTCTCCCAAAGACATTCCTCTCCAAAACTTGCCACCACCAATGCACATGCCCTTATAAGCCGATGTCCTATAACTTCATTCATGTTCTCTCAAAGGTCTAGATATTTTATTTATTTTCTCATAGTATTTTTGACTAATAAGAGATCTGTAATAGGCGATTCGAGATATGTATTACGGGTCCCAAAACTATCCTAATGGCCCAAATAGGCCCAAATTGTCTGGTAAACGATTTTCGTATTCAATAAGCTCAAGAAGTTGTTGTTTATTGTTGAACTTTAATTGACGAACCTAGCTCTTTGGGAGATATCATTGAGATTTTAGCACACTCTCTTTTGTCTTATCTGCTAAATCCCATTAGTATTTGAATATTTTGTCGTGGAAAGAGTAATTATTTTTATCGAATTGTTTTTGTGTTTGATGTAACGGCCGATAAGGCGATAACAAGTTTGTGGTGGACACTAGTGGTCGGATCATTTGTTTGCAGTGAACGATGAACAAATCAACATCAATTAACGTATCTATCATTTGTATAGATAGTCAAACTCTTCTATCATTCTTTTTTGAGGCAGAATTTAGGTAAAATTGGGAACATATGGTTTGAATGAAATGTGATGATGATCTAGCCTAATCTGAAAATGTGTCTAATTTGAAAGAATCTAACTACTTAATGATTATGACAAGAAAGCATTTCTTAGCCACTAATATAAGTATCGTTAGCTTACCATGAAAACTTTGAACCTTTTTTCAGTTAATGGTGGATGAATGGTTAATTAATATAGTTAATCATACAAACTCAATTTGAAGTAGTATGAATATATTCCTAAGCACATTAGCAACCAAAAAAGGTAAAAAGGAAAGAAAGTGGGAAACCAAGTAACCAAACTATGGGTTAGGCAATTAAAAAATATACAGTATATATACTATGGGTTAGGCAGTAAAGATCCATCATCTTCTTTAATACATTTTCATATTGTTCCTCGCATTCATGGATAATACTAATTAATGCTCTTTGTCTCACCATCTTATTATTACGATGACTTTCAGCCACATCTATGATACAATATGATTTTCCTACATTAACCGAGAAAATATCAACATGATCTCAAAATTTTCTTTCTTTATTGTCATCAGAAATCTTCTAGATTCATAATACTACATAATTATATTGTATAAACTAGTTAATTAATCATAGTAAAGAATATCACTTACTTACAAAACGGAGCAATTTTATCATCATAAACATATTGTTTACTATTTTAAGATGAAGAAAAAAAGGTTTTTCTTATCAAAATTTTGGAGTGACCAAACCAAATCGGTCGATCGCATCATCTGTACTTCTACAAATTAAAGTGTAACCAAAACACGACATATACTAATACTATGGTTGTTATGGACAATCATATAAAAATTATGTATTCTATTTAATTGGACCGGCCAATCCGAAGTTAATTATAGTTAGTAGAAGTAGACTAATAGGAGTATTTGCTCGTTCAACTATCGAGCATACAAGTGTCCGAATAGTCAGACGACTTTTAATTTATATATTCACCATTAGGGTTTGCGGCTCAATACATGCACGCCTATCGCATCTTTCTTTTTGCTTCATTTCTAAAATAAATCCGATCTAAACTGAAACTTGCACAAAAGTTTTTGTTAAATTCAGGAAAGAAATATTGTCTAGACTACATTTAATCATAATGAAAATGAGTAAGAAACTTTCTTCAAATCTGTTTTCAATTTTTTCATCAAAGTTATCCACTTCTGTGAACGAGTCATATAGAAAACAAATATAATCCAAATTAAATAATAATTCAAGGTGTACTCAGCATTATTCGTATTCAAACTTCGACTAATTCAATATTTATTTATTTTTTCAATTATATCAATGTCTCTAAAAAAAATTCTTGATATTTATAAGTATGAAAGTTTGTATATATGATTGATTGTATCGTGATTTATCTACGTGAATGATTTTTTGAAAAAGCATGTAATATCACACATAGTCCACTAAGAGAAAGAACTCGAAGTTTCTTTCTTTTATAATCACAAACGAAAATTTGATACGTCGATGTCACAAACATTATAACACATATCATATATAAACACAAAATATCTATGTGTAGGACTTTGATTGGTATGTGGAACATTTCCCGGATATGAGTAAGCTATTGAAGACCGATATACGATTAATATGCATGCAAATACAGATATGACTTTGATCATTACATTGAAGGAGAGGAGAAATACGATACATTTTTTTAGCAACAAGAAATTAAAGCACTATACAATTTGTTGTTCAGGTATATGTTTTGGATTTATTATATTCAAACTTATGCAATTATTCTCTTAATAGTAGTGTGTAAAATTTTAGATTTCAATATTTATAGAGCCTGATAAAGACAAAGTCCCATGCTTTCATTTGTAATTTCTTCCTTTATGCACACTATGGCAGACAAATTCAAAGCAAGAAATTTAAAAAACTGCCTAATAAAAACATCTTTTGATTCCCTGGGCACAAATCCTTATGTCAACTTTTATTTGTCTGTATTTTTTTATTCAAAAAGAAAGATTCCAAAATTAAATAAAACAACCAATCCACAACCTCTTTTATAATCCCAAAACCTTAAGATGAGAAAGAAACTCCATTTAATTTCCATCTTCTGTTTTTTCACTTAAACTCACACAAGAAGTTTCAAATTTTAGATTTTGATGGAGTTTTAGAGAAACCATTAACATCAATGGAGATTTCAACAAAACCAGAAGATTTCAGAAACCATCCATCTTCTACTTCATCTTCATCAGCCTCTTCTTCCATTAATATCAATGGAGCTTTACATCATCACCACATCATCACCAGATCGGATCATTACCCGACAACTTTTGTTCAAGCAGACACTTCCTCTTTCAAACAAGTCGTCCAGATGCTCACCGGAAGCTCCTCCCCGAGATCTCCAGACTCGCCGCGTCCACCGGCGACTCCTTCCGGCAAGGGAAGTTTCGTGATTCCACCTATCAAAACCGCACAGCCGAAGAAGCAATATTCGGGAAACAAACTTTACGAGAGGAGATCGCACAACAACCTCAAGAACAGCCTCATGATCAACACACTCATGATCGGCAGCGGAAACGGCGCCGGTAGCCCGAGATTCTCTCCGAGAAACCAGGAGATTCTGTCGCCTAGCTGTCTTGATTTCCCGAAACTCGCCCTCAACAGCCCCGTGACGCCGTTAAAGCACGGCGGAGACGGAAACGACCCATTCGATAGGATGTCGCCACTATCGGAGGAAGAGAGATCGATCGCCGAGAAGGGTTATTACCTTCACAGGTCGCCGATTTCAACTCCGAGAGAATCGGAGCCGCCGCAGCTTCTGCCGCTGTTTCCGGTGACTTCTCCGAGAGTATCGCCGGAGAAGTAGAGTTTAAGCAAAAAGGACATGTGAAAATGTTCATAATTTCTACTGCGACTGTAGTTTTCGTTTTTTTAACTCTGCTTTTTCACCCTCGTTTCATTTTACTACTTACCAAATTGTGTTGATTAAATATTTAAATAAAGCGGTCAAAGTCAAAGATAAGGTACTCACGAGTGATATTTTAAACATATTAGACAATTACAATTTATTAAAGAGCAAAAACGCATTTTATATAGGGAGTTATACCGTTGACGTTTGGACAGAACTCAGATTAAGATTAGTAATAATGTGCAAGAGATTTGTCTTTTGCTAAAAAAATATATCTTCAACAGAGAGATTTCGTCTTTTGCTATTTGACTAGTTATTGTTTGCATCATCACCTTATAAAAGTTGTCATTTGATGATTTTAATCATTATCTCCTAAACTTCTTCGTCATCAATGATAAGTTAGTTGATAGATAAAAACCCTCTGTCGTTTTGCTTGCTGAATTTCTCCTTTATTATTTTAGTAAAATTTTGAAGGAAAATACATCTGAATTTTGACATTGATCCCATCAAACATGTCAGCTTTAAAACCAAAACATAATCAAACTTTTAGTTTCAAACAACCAAAAATTCTCATTTGAGACATTTATTAGTAGATAACTTGGTGAGGCCTTATTAAAGCTAAACTTTAGTACATTATACATTTGCTCTTCTCTCTCTCTCTCTCTCTCTCTCTCTCTCTCTCAGAGCCGAGGAGATGGAGTAGTAACAGGCTGCTTCTTACGGTAGTCATAAACACCGAGTCCTCGTTTTCTTCCTAATCTTCCAGCATCAACGTACTGAACAAGAAGAGGACAAGGCGCGTACTTGGAGTCCCCAAGTCCCTCCTGCAGCACTCTCATTATCGACAAGCACACGTCTAGACCGATCAAGTCCGCCAGCTCCAGAGGACCCATCGGGTGGTTTGTGCCGTGTCTCATTCCGCTGTCAATGTCTTCCTTCGTAGCCACACCTGTGTAAAGGGTGTGGAACGCTTCATTGATCATCGGCATCAGGATCCTGTTCACGATGAAGCCTGCGTAGTCTTGCGAGCACACTGTTGTCTTCCCAAACCTTTCAGCGAGGGATTTTGTAGCAAGAAAGGTCTCTTCTGAGGTATCAGCGCCGCGAATGATCTCGACCAGTTTCATTACTGGAGGAGGGTTCATGAAGTGCATTCCAATAACCTATAAGACGAAGAAGAAGAAGAAACACTTTTTGGTTTAGGATTCGGAAACTCAGCAATAGATTTGAAGGATCTTTGTGTTGAACCTGAGTGGGTCTTTGTGTTGCGGATGCAAGACGAGTGATAGAGATTGAGCTTGTGTTAGAAGCTAAGATTGCAGAACTCTTGGCTATAGCATCTAAATCCTTGAACAGTTTCTTCTTCACGTCTTCAGATTCCACAATCGCTTCGACGATGATATCAGCAGAACGCAAATCTTCTAGGTTTGATGTTAAACGTAGACGACGCATCGCATCTTCACCAACTTCCTGCAAATTTACACAAATCACTCTGCTGTTTTATAGATTTGGACTACCACAATTTCCGATCATTTCACCTAAATCCTTAAACGATGATCATTCCACTAATTGATTGAAAATCCTAATTTCCGAGGAGAAAGAAGCAGATGATTGAAGGAGTTTCGAGTGAATCTGACCTTGGAGAGGAGACCTTTGGAGACGAAACGATTGACGGAGGAGGAGATAGCTGCGGTAGCTCGAGAGAGCGCATCCTGATCAGCGTCCATCAGCCAAACGTCGAGGCCGTTCATTGCGGCGAGTTGCGCGATTCCGGAGCCCATCTGTCCACCACCCACTACTCCGACACACTTCATCTCCGCCGCCATTTTCTCTCGCTGCTTCTGCTTCTCCTAATCGCCGGCGATAATCGTCGTAGTAGTCTATTTGCAATTCCCCAGATCAAAGAGATGATAAATTTGCCAGCTAAGCATCGTTAGGTAGGCCTTATTCGTTATGGGCTTATTATTATTTATATTGGGCCGAAATTATAACGACCCAATAAGAAGAAGAAACACTCTTTGATCTTTACAAGAACTGGCATGAACACGTGTCGCCATGCGAGGAATCAAGTAAGAAACGTGTCGTAAGCTGTCCACGTGTAGTTGGCCTCACTACTCCACCACTCCACTGACTTCCGCGAGCTTTGGATCTTCGCTAAGTACTTCATAAGCAGTTGAGATCAAGAGGAAAAGCAACAGATTAATCAAGTAAATTCAAGATATCAAAGAGTTAAGAAGAAATTTAACAATGTCGACTAGCTTTTTATTGAAGAGACTCGCGACGGTGGTCGTTTCAAGAACTCATGGAGGAGATGTCTCCGGTTATTCCCTCCGCCAAGCTACCACCGGCATCAACAACTTCTCCACCGCATTTAAGAAAATGGAGGTATGTAATGATTAATATCATCTTGAGGTATAACTTTTTGGACTAATATATATTAGTTGCACTTACTTTCAATATTTGGTTGCTAAACCCTAAACATATGCAATTTGTTTCTCTTTGAATCTGTATTGGGCATTAAGTCTAATCAATGAGAGAGTAATTATTTCTAGGGCACGGAGAGCATGAGAGACCATCACTATACTCAAGGTTCGAATGCTGCAAACGAAGATAAGTCAACTACTAGTTACGTGGCGGACAAGGCAAAGGAAGGGGTGAAGAAAGCGACGGATGCAGCTGTGAACGCCGGAGATAACATGAAGGACGCGATGGACGGCGCTTGGAAAGCGGCGAAGGAAACGGGTCAGAACATCAGCGATGCGGTTGCGGGCGATGATGATGATGGCGGCAGGATTCAAGAGGATAAGGTCGCGGTGGAGCTGAAAAATGTGAGCCAGCCCGTTGACATGACCGAGTATAGAGGTGTGGAAGAGCTACGACAGCAAACCGCCGGCGAAAATAAGTCACCGTGAGATGACGGCGTTACTTATGGTTTCTATCATCTTTTTTTATTGTTGTTTGTTTCAATGAGAGGTTGCGTGTGGTTCGAGGTTTATGAATGAACCGTTTCTACATTTCATTGCAGTTTGTTTCTATGAGAGTAGTTATTCTAAAGAAACCAGCGAGTTAAGTTCAAAATATACAACCTCTCCTCCGTGAAATTTTTATATGTATCTTCAAATATTGTATATGTACAAACCATTAGCAACTAAATCTTTATGCATGAGCAGATAATATGCAAATGGTGGCTAACAGGTGGAATAAGTTGAATTAGGAAAATAATAATTAGTGGAATGGGAAATAGCGGAATGATGTTAGTTAGAGGAAAAATGTTATTCCAATAGTTCCTCTCCTCTTATTAGGAGGAACAAATCTCAGCGTAAAAGAGACAATATATTTGTAAATGGTGCACTTTTTACTGAAACCAGCGTAATGAGCTATTCCACTAGCTATCAAGTCAACCATTTGCAGCCAAAAATGATAATACGATGTGTGTATAAACTTGACCAATGTTTGAAGAGTTTGGTGGCGGGGCCGTGCTAAATAAAGTTAATGGCTGCCGGAGGAGATGAAATAAATATTTAACCATCTCTGTAAATTTAGAACGTAATGTTTTAAAAAAAATAAATATCAAAAGATTAATGCTACAAATATTTACCACTGTAATTTGGGACAAAACTGCAATAAAAATGATTAAGAACGAAATAGGAGTAGATAATAAATAAAAACATCAAATTATTTATAATGGTCACCATATTTAGTGATATTAAAAAAAAAATGTTTTGACTAACTAAACGGCAGTCAAAAGATAAATTGAAAAAATGTGTATCCTAACTTTCTAATGATTTTCTGTTTTGGTTACTTTGATTTCTACTTTGTTTTTGTATTTTTGATGTCATTTGAAGATACACGTAGCCACGTAGGTCGTAACCAACATCAACCTTCTAAAACAAATTTATAACTAAAGACATAAGATGAACTTGTTACAAAAAGCTTCTTAGTTTTCTTCAAAAAATTTAGGCACGTCGGCCAACGTTTCTTTCATATAACGTGTGGCACGACTACTGAAGTCTGAACACAGCTGGATCGCAGAGTCCGTAGGGAATCTCACGTTGGCATTGATATCTCATATTTGAAGCTGGGGTCTCTTTGAAAATTCCCGTAAATGGTGAGACAAACTCTAGGTTAAAAATCGCTCGAGCCTGTTACACGAATAGATCAGTAACAAATTCTGTACTATTTACTAAAATAGTAAAACTACCCCTTTAAATTCTTCTAAAAAAACAATCATGAGTGCTGTGAATCGTCGTTATACACAAAATACGAAATATCTTAAATATTTCCGTTTGCTTTTCTATACGAAAACATACTTTTTTTCTTCCCTCCCGTAATGTTTAAAACGACGATAGCACTGCTTTACTGAATTTTTCTTTAACTTTTGTCTTTTGAACATATTATTTTCTGGTTATTTAAATTCCATGATACTATCATATCTAGTTTTTTGGCATCTATGACAAAAAGACAGAACAAGTTCGATATGCTATGTAGGAGACAAGTGGAACTCGAAAACGAGAGGAGGCATCTCTGATCTCTAGTGTTTAGTAGTGGCTTAATGGATTGCTACGTGCGTTTTGTTTCCTAACGTTAAGTTTAAAGAAATTCGCCATGACTGAGAAGGAAATATCACTCTGCCTATATATTATTCTCCACTTCCTGGATTAAAATATAACAGCATCTCTTTCTTATTTTCTCATCTTTTTGTAGGGGCCAAACCTCGAGCAGATGGAGACGAGCATTAACTTATCATATTCTTTACCATTTTTTTCACTTTGTTCTTCACAAGATTGCAAAAGAATCACTTCTCCCTCACACAATAAATAACAAAACGAAAAGCCAAAATCTAACCCATACCTATATAGCATATTCTTTCGGCTTTAGGGTGCTAAAACAATTTTAACTAGGCAGGACCGAAAAATTGAAGGATAAAGGAGGATCAAAGTGAGATGTGAGAAAGAAAGCAAAAAAAAAGGTACAACATTTATTTTGTTATGCGAAAAAAAAAGTGCAGCAGCTTTGCATACATCCTAAAGCTCAAGTCACATAGATGATAGATTCAAGACATGAGTACAGTTTTGGCATGTGAAACCTTTTATGTCCCGTCTCTTTCACTACCCACTACTTCTAGCTATTTCTCTCTCTCTCTTTCTTACACTACTGTAATGTATAATAAGAAAGAAAAAAAGTTACAAAACCTTCACTGTTAATTTTTATTACCATAAAGAAACAGACAAAGAGGAAATAACACAGTTGAAAAGAAAAAAGAGTAAACAGAAGTGGAGTGATTGCATATAACAGAGGATTGCTTCATGTTCTGATTCCTTTTAGCTGGTCCAAACTCAAAGACTCTTTACTTGTTTCAGTGACCAGTAAGATTTATGATCAGCGGAATCTCCAGTGGCCTTCTTCTCCTATCAAAGAAAGCAAAACAATAAAATCAAGGTTAAAAGTGAAGAATTTTGTCACTTTATGGTTATTTTTTCATGTGAGGAAAATCTCTTTTGAGCAGCTAAACTTTAAACCTTAAACGTCACAGTTCTCTATCAAAATAAATAGTTCCAAATGTCGTTTGCATTGACCCCTTAGCTAAAGTGACCTCAAGTGATTACTTTCCCTCTTTTAATCTGTGATTTTGCACTCCCACAAAATAGAATCTTTATAGGTGATAATGCCCAACACCCGAAAGAAATAAAAAAGTGTTTAAGCATCAACCATGGTCCTAGAACAGACAATATTTATGCTGCAAACATCAAACACAATAGACAAGGCAAGTTAAAAACCATATACAAAACAAGATGTAATAAACCAAAAAAAAACAAGACAGATATATGTTTAAACTGAAGATTAACCATTTTTCCTATAATCATAATCTAACCTTAAATGCACTGTCTAGATGGGTCCAACAATAGATGACCACTAGGATTGCAAGCAGAGGAATCCAATAGTCTACATCGACAAAGGATGTCACATTTATTAGGATCTTTGTCTATTTCTAGAGATTAGAAAAGAAAGAAAAAGAAAAAGTTAGATGAGAAGACCATGTGTAAATTATTATCCCCAGCTCTTTTTTCCTTTGTACTATCTGTCTACAGTTGCACTGGTCAATAAGGAGTATCCTCTTTAATTACCTAGAAGGACATCAATGTTATCTTAAACCCAAAAGGGTCCCCAATTTGAATAACTATTTCTAATTAAAAGTCAAATAATATATAGCTTGTACTAATAACAATTCATTGCATCAGAACAAAGCCAAAACCACAGTAACAACAAATTTTTAACTTCCTAATTCCCAATCTAAATCCTTTTCCTCTCTAATTCTTTATTTTGTATTTTTGTTCTCAGAGCAAGGCACATCACGTAATCAAGTACTTATTCCACCAGAGAAGCACACAAGGACACAGTGGTCCATCTCCAGACTTTTCTTCCCCTTTTTAAACACTTCAAAGTACCATTCATTTCCAAACCCCAAACCCCAAGCCATAAGCAGAGTTCCACCACCATCTTTCTCAAGACTACAACTTACAGCTTTGCCAGAAAAATGGAGGGTCGGAGAACAGCACAACGGTGGGGTTACTTGAAAGACAAGGCTACAGTCTCCAACCTTGATGAAGAAGAATTGGATGGAGAGGAGGAAGATGGGGGAGATGAAGACAAAAGGAAGAGAGCCATGGAGAGAGTTAGAGGTCCTAGCAGCGACCGTGTTCCATTGCGGCTGTGCCAGGTCGACAGGTGCACAGCTAACTTGACCGAGGCCAAGCAGTACTACCGTAGACACAAAGTCTGTGAAGTTCATGCAAAGGCATCTGCTGCCACTGTTGCAGGCGCCAAGCAACGTTTTTGCCAACAATGCAGCAGGTACAAATCCTCCCTTTCAATAATACTTTTCTTTCACAGTTTATCAAGAAGAGGTTTGTTTTTTCAATTTGAGCAGGTTTCATGAGCTACCAGAGTTTGATGAAGCTAAAAGAAGTTGCCGGAGGCGCTTAGCGGGACACAATGAGAGGAGGAGGAAGAGTTCTGGTGACGGTTTTGGAGAAGGTTCTGGCCGGAGAGGGCTTAGCGGTCAACTGACTCAAGAAAGAAAGAGAGTAGACATGAAACTTCCCATGACCAACTCATCATTCAAGCGATCACAGATCAGATAAACACGACAAACTCTGTCCGCTCTCTCTCTTCTGTCATCTAAATATGGTCTATCTACACTCTTCTTATCCCAATAATGGCATCTAACCATGTCCAAGAATGGCTCCTACATCTATGTTATCGCATACTCTTGCGTCTAAGTATAATTAGTGAATATTGTATGCATGAAGATATGATTAGGATGTGTATTACTTTTGAGTTTGAAATAAATATTTTCAATGCCTAATGCTACTTGAAAAGGTAGAAGTACTAACCAAAGATTCACTGAAACTTGACGACGACGACTGAAATATCGTCTGAGCTTCTCCTTGCAACAGCCTCCTCGGAGAGCTGCTTTGCTGCAGATTTCGCATCTTTCACTCCCTTGATCGAGTCAACAGCTTCTTGATTCGACATGACCTAATAAGATTTCAAAATTCAATCAGTACCATACGTAGTGAGAGTAGCTGAGAGTAAGATTACGAAAGAGAGAGAACAAAAAACCTTCCAGAGTCCATCACTTGCTAGGATAAGAAACTCTGCATCATCGTCAATACTCTCCACAGTAACATATGGCTCTGAGCTCAAATGCATTTTCAAACTCTTATCACCAAACGCCCTTGCCACAGCAAGCTGTCCATCAACTCTAGGAACGTCCCCTGAAAATCAGTCCACCAACAAGACAAACAAAAACCTTCAAGAACACAAAGCAACAACAAGAACAATATCAAAAACATATTTGCATAAAATGTGATACCAGGGAAGTTAGAAACGAATCCGCCTCTATTCTCAATCTCATCCTTCTCCAAGTTCGGCTCGTGATCAACAGAGAGCTGCTTGGCAACACCATCTTTGCAGATCACAGCTCTCGAGTCGCCAACGTTAGCAACAACCAGCTTCTGGCAGTTGATCAGAATCGCAGTGACTGCAGTGGAACCACCTTTCCCCAAATCAGACGCCTTGTCTAGAATCGTCGTATCGGTTATATAATAAGCTTTCTTTATCGCCACCTCCGGCTCTTGCCAGAAATTCGGCTACGTTCATCGTCAAAGAAGAATCAGAAGAAGAGTAAGTTTTCATTATGTTTGAAGACTAAGTTAAAATGAAGAAGAAGAAGCCTCCTCCATATTACCTCATTCAAGATGTTGTCAAACAAATGGGAGCACAAATAGTCTGGGATCTCGTGGCTGAGATGGCCATCGAAGATAGCGAAGAGGCCAAGCTCGTTGTCATCGACTTCCTTGAATTTGGCAACCACGTAATCCTCCATCTCATGGAAAGCTTTCCCTTTCACCAGGTGGAAGCCATGCGTGATCTGCTTCGACATCTTGCTCTTCCCTTTCCCTGAATCTGCAGATGCAGATGCTCCGAGCCCAACTTTCTCCTGCACCAATGAATGATGAATTAATTTTGAGGCATATCGCAGATTCCGAAATTCGGATCTAAAGGACTCTCGCTAAATCCAGATTCAATTCGATCGGTGAACAAGTAGTAATCTTAATCTTCTCAAAATCACTCTAGCTGATATATGATTTTGAAATGTCGAGCCGGAAGCGATTGTTCAAGTGAGAAATGGAAACAAGCAGAGAATCGATTGATAATACCTTAACGGATTCCTTCATCTTGTGGAGAATCTCCTTACCGGTCATGGCTCGAAGATGAAAAGACGGTTATATATATGAAATTATCTAAAATGCATACAAAATTATCCAGTTTCGCGAGCGTCAGAGAGAGAGAGAGAGAGAGAGAGAATGGGTGAAGAAGAGAGGTGGGGAAGAAGACACGAAGGCCAATGTTGCATGTCAGCTTCTACCGCCGCTTTCGTTGCGGCGATGACTGACGTCTTCGCGCCACCTATGACTTTTCGTTCTTTTTTTAATATTATAAAACTTGTTAATATCTGTTGTTAAACGGCCAGAAATGTTGTTAAATGGGTCGATTAAAGCCCAAAACATGATGGGCTTATTTCCAAGATCGTGTCATCAATCAAATTAAATTAAGCCATTAAGCAAAATCCTGTCAAAAAAAATACTACTGATTTAAAATTAATAAATCATAAATATGATGAGCACTGAGATGAATGATTATGGTGTTCCTTAGGGCATGGGTCCTAATTCTATGGTGTCTCGTAAAGAGTAAAGAGAGACTAAGACAATGGCCAGTGGGAGACAAAAGCCATAGTGCGAGCTCTTTGTCTTCTAATTTTGTGGGTATTTGTTTTTAATTCCTTGTTGTCTTCAAAATTATATCAGTATCTTATTAGTAAAGATTTAAAATGTACTTGACATTTAACATTTAAAATGTTTATTATGACTAGGTGTCATCAAAACAACTGAAAATACCAAAAAAAAAAGTCTAGAAGCTAGTCTGAATTATGTTTGGGATCAGTAATGTTTGAGACATGACCATATAAGATGTTGGATTAATTTAATTTTTTGTCTATTTTGTTAGATTACTAGTATTTAGTATTTAATACCTACGGAAACTCTATGGGCGTTTCACGTTTCGAAACGCAACAGAAACGCATTTCCTTCATTTGGAATCGTATGGGAAATGTCCAACATCCCTTAAAATCAAAAGCTTCTTCTCAGCAGCGTTTGCGGTTTATACCGCTCAAGATCCTTCAACATCTCTCAAAATCAAAAGCTCCTTTCCAACAACGTTTGCGGTTGCGGGTGGATAATTAAAAAAAAAAAAAAATAAAAAACACAAACTTATATAAAATCCGAAAATAAATAATAATCTTTATTAAAAAATAAGATTTGGATAATAAAATCACAATATAAAAAAAAATTAGTACTTTTAGTCAATATTCATTAAAATCATATCATACTTATATATTTATAAGTTCTACAAATCAAAATTCTCTTGATAAATATTCTTTTCATACTAATACATATATATCTAATAAATAAAATTGTAATATAAATTTAATTTTCACATTAAATATATATTTTGAAAATAAAATCACATTTTTATTTAAATTATAGAAATTAAAAGATAGACGTAAGTATTATACACATATTATTCTTTATAAAAATTATTTTTAATTATGTTGAACCATAAATTTAAAATTTTCATTATAATATAGTTTTGATATTTTTATAATTATATAATGTGTTTATATTATTAATTTATTGTTTAACCGCTATTGCCGCAAGTGAACCAGTCATAAGTATCCCGCAAACGCATCCATTTTCAATTGTTATGCCAGTCGTACAAACCGCTTAATAACGCTACTAATCACAACCGCCTTCTTCTGCAAACTCCCGCATCCGCAACTATAACCGCAACGATTAAACCAATCAACCCCTGCATCATTTTATAAGGTTACATCTAGCGATTGTTGCTTTTGCTTTAACCCAAAGGCTAAAGCGTATCATTAGGAGAATTGTGTCCCCAGCGTACAACACGTGACCTACATATAGCAGAGAAATTTATCAATAAAAAATAATTTGTACGACAAAAAAATAATTTAGACACAAATGTCGGTAGATAAGTTCAAGATTTTCATAAACAACATAAACTATCTTGATCAATACCTTGAGTTATGGTTGATAATCCTTTACCATTGCTGTAAAAGATATACCTATTAGTTTAGTTATTAATCACCAAAACGTTTTTTCATATAGTTTAATTAATTAATCCGTGATCCGGTAGACAAGACTTGGACAAAATCATTACAAACACCATCACTTCGCTATTCAAACGCTGAGCTGGCTGGTCACTTCCGTACCCATTTCTCCACGTGTCCTACCCTCTATTTAAACAAGTATACGACCAGATAATCAAAACACACCAAAATGGAGAATCACGAGAATAGTAGAAACTCCGAAGAGGCGCCGGAGTTCGAGTTCGGATCGCTGACTCCATCGTCTCCGTCACAAGACTCGTTCACTGAGAATTCTCCCGCCGATCACCTCTTTTTCAACGGCCGTCTCTTGCCACACGCTTTCTCGGCGGCGGGTAATAATCCAAAGCTGTCAGTCTCACGTACCACCAGCGAATACACCTCACGGAGCAATAGTACTAACAGCCGGAGTAGCATTTGTAGTAGCAGCTCAACTTCTTACTCTCCGCGAATGAGCAGTTTTAACGTTAACAACAACAATAGTCCCCTTGACCACAAGCCGTTGGATATGAATCCACCGATAAGCATGTGTGGTAAAGCAGTAAATACGCCGAGGATGAAGGCAACGGAGATGGTGACAGCGTCTCTATACAGGTCGTATTCATCGCAGCGGTGGCAATATATAACTCCGGCGCCGGTGAAACGGAGTAGAGGGATTAGAGTCGGTGGTGGACGGAAGAAGAAGGCGGCGAGGATGAAGAAGATGTCCGAGGAGAGTGGAGGGAGCAGGGTGATGAAGTGGTGGAGAAGACTTTTGATGGCGGCGATTTTTGCTTGTAGAGAGTGTCATGCATTGGAGGGAGCCTGAGAGAGAGACTTTGTGAAATGATGACGTGGTTATGGTAATGAGACAAAAGAGAGTGATGTATATTGATTGATTGTTCATTATGAAAAACAAAATTGGAGTTGTGGGATTTTAAGTATTGTGTATCTAAAGCATTTTGATTCTCTTGATTAAAAGTAACTTTGAACAAAACTGTATCTACCTTGATATGTTCTTGTAATTTATATAACTTAGACAACCTCCTCAATTATCTAAATAATAATCTTTTGAATTGCGGAAACTGTAGTCCTCTTTCTTACCTTTTCTTAGGATTTAATAGAAAATATGAGACTTTTAGTGGCTTTTCTTATTGCTTCTTGCTTCTCTTTTGCCGCATGGCACTTACTATGACGCCTTATTACCATATTGATCTTCGTTTCAAGATCTGGTTCAGCAAAAAACGTATGTGCTGTGTCATTTCATGAAAGGATGCTTTTGAGATGGCTCGTCATGAGTCATGAGATGTCTATGCATTATCCATCTCAAACTGGTTCCAACAACATCCTCCTATATATAAGTATAAACTACAAAAACATCTCAACGATATTCACTACCGAATCTCACATCTATAAGTATAAACAACATCAAATATAATCAAAATATCAGATCTACAAGATCATTGGAATCACCAAGTATAAGTGTATAATACACATAATCAGAATATGAGATCTAAAACAGCATCTGGATATGCTTGTAGATATGTGGCAAAAAAAACAAAAAAAAAACAAATAAAGCAAATAAAAACTACATGTTTAGAGCCGATGGATCCATCGATTAATTGAACAATAGATCCATACGATTAATTGAATAATAGACCCATCCGGCTAATTATATGGATCAAAAAGCAAAACACAAAAAATGAAAAATGTTCAAACGGAGAAATCCGTACGATTAGTTGAATCATAGATCCATACGTACGTAAAATTGTTTCGGATCAAAAACATGAGCAACAAAACTAATAATAAATAAATAAATTGAGAATAACTTCGAAGAAGAGAAACTACATAGCAAAGTGTTGAACAGCTGAGTATCGCCACCCGGGTTTGAGTCGCCTTGGCCACCTAGCCGCGTCCTTAACAATGGGATAACGCATAATCGGATGCAAGGCCAGGTTGGAATAGTTCTTGAGCCTAGAAAGCCTTTGGGAATCAACTTAAAAAAAAATGTTGAACAAAAAACGCATGACGACCACTCTAAAGCATTTTGCTTCTCTTGTTTAAAGGTAACTTTGAACAAAACTGTATCTACCTTGATATGTTCTTGTAATTTATAACTTAAGACAACCACTTCAACTATCTAAATAATCTATTGAATTGTATTTATATGAATTTGTGTGTAAATAATCTATACTAGTAGAGTATCCGTACGTTTGTGCGGTGTGACGTTGTGATTTTGTGTAGAAAATTTAAACTCTAAATCCGAACCCGACCAAAAAATCCTAATCAAAAATTTTAAAAACCCAAACTTTTTAATATATCTAAACCTGAAAATCCGAAAGAAAAAAAAATCCCGAAAACCCTAAACTTAACAGAAAAAATCTGTAAACTTTTTCACCCGGACCCTAATACCCATTAATGGTTTTGCAGCCGTACCTAGAATCTCCAAATACTCATTAATGGTTTTGTCATGTTAGATTTTCACCCAAACCTGAACTTGTCTATAAAAACCCGAAAATCCAAAAAACATATTTTATTTATTTGGTATTATGGGGAAATTTCAAACTACACCTCTTAAGGTGCCAATTTTCAAAAATACACCTCTATGGTGTCCATTTTCAAAACTACACTTTTTTCATTTAGTAAAAGAGCTTTAAACCCTAAAATATAAATCCAAAACCCTAAAATCTAACATTGAACCCTTAAATCTAAACCTTAAACCCCAAAATCTAAACCCTAATCTAGGATTAGTGAATCCAAACATATATATTAAAATAGGAAAAAGTGTATTTTTGAAAATTTCCACACTATAGGTGTAGTTTTGAAAATTTGCACCTCAAAAGGTGTATTTCATAAAATTTCTCTTTGGTATTATTGTTAGATTATGTTAAGTTTTTTTTTTTTTTGCAGATTTTTAAGAGCTGAAAAACGGAAGTTTTCTAAACCATCGATTTGTTTTAAGTTATTATTCTTGTATCCAAACAATTTTTTCCATTTATTATTCTATCCAAATAACTTTTTCTCTTATTCTTGTATCCAAACATTACAATGTACTAAATTGACACTAATTAAATCTGTTGCCAAACACTTTCTCTTCATAATTAGATTGTTTTTTTTCATAAATTTTCCATGTACTTCTCAATTAATAATATAAAAATATATAAAGTTCATGCAATTTTATTATGGTACTGCCACCTCAGCAAAAGAGGGTGTTTTTAAATTCATCATTTCAGCACAAACATTTAATATATCATATTTTCTCTTTTTATATTTTAATTCTTTATGATCATTCATTAATATAATCATTAAATAATACAGTAGTTTTTGAAAGAAATTGAAAAGTCATTTTTATAAAAGAAAAAAAATATTCTGTATAAATCTTAAAAAACTATTATTTAATAATAATAATAATATTATACAAAGAATATTTTTTTATAATATTTTTGGATGAAAAGAGACGAGATTAAATATGACGAGACGACAAAAAATAACCGGAGAATAGGGAAATTTTGTTGACCTCTTATGATATTAAGTGACGCGACGAGATCAAGGAACGAAATGTGACGGGATTGGACGGGACGGGATTGGACGGGACAAGATGAAAAAGGACATAATGGACGGAAATAGACGGGACGAGAATTTTGCCTACCCCTAATTATATTTAGAGATGAGACAGAGGTAATACAAAATGAAAATGAACATAATAAGATATGATGAGACTGGATGGGGCGGACAGAACGAACGAGATGGGAAAGAACATGACAAGATGAAAAGGAACGGAATGGGATAGAATTATGTCTACCCCTAATTATATTTAGGGAACAAGACGAAAATAAACAAAATGGAAAGAATATAATGGTATAAGATGAGACTGAATGGGACGGGACATACATGATGAACGGGACGGGAAAGAACGTACATGACGAAAATGAACTAAATGGGACGAGATGGAACAAGATAGTACAATTTTTTTGTCTAACTCTAATTATATTTAAGTAATGTATATATAATATATTTGAAATAATATTAAATTTATATTAACACAACTTGCGCATAGTGGGTCACCCTAGTTAATGATATACTTGAAGTAGTAGAGAGGAATCTTAATGCTGACAATGCCGATTACAGATTATGAGGGGATTGGACACTGGAGCTCCAGGCAACATGCTTGTTCTCTCCGGAGAGAAAGACTTCAGAAAGCCGCCACAGATGAATATCTTCGTGCAGGACAGCTGTTTGGGATTGGCTGGAGATAATTGAAAGGTATGCACAAGTGCAGTTTGTGAACGTGCATGATGAAGAAGCTGCCAGGGTTCGTACTGTCGTAATATGATGTGTTAGTTGGTTTCTTTGTTTGTTTGTAGTTACGGTTCTCTATCGGCAAAATTTTGAGGTTATAAGTTATATTGATGTTTCATTCTTTTTTTTTATCAAGATGGACGAAAGGAAAATAAAAAACCTTAAAAGTTTTTAAAAAATAAAATAAATGATATATTTGCATGTGATCGTTTTGTAAGGAAACATAGCGCTTAAAAGATATTTCTCCATAACAAAAAAAATGGTGAATGAAATTTTTATGTGGTTCAACAAGACCACTTGCAAACTTTAAAAAAAGGTCTAGACAAGTTTTCAAGAGAAAAGAAAAAAGTAAAATTTTGACAGAAAATTAAAGTAAATAAAAGAGTAGATTGATTGAAAATAAAAAGAGAGTAGATTAACTATGTTCATCACAAAGTGATGATAAAACGATTGAAACAACAAACAAAAGACATAAGAAAAAGAAGCAAACTAAGAACATCACTCCAAGAAACTCATGTTTCGGTGGTGACTATCAAGGCTCAAGAACTCACTCGGATTCGCTTGACTCTCGGAGTTGCTCTGTTCCTGGCTCTGGTTCTGGTGGTCCGGTTTGTCACCTAAACCCTCTGAATCAAACAGAAGCTTAGCATTGACATTGTTAGTCAACGCATTGAAGAAAGATAACCCGGTGGGCCATTTCACGTCCGCGTCTTGTTCTTTGTTAGAATGTGGCATTACCGGGAAAGGCATGTGAGGCTGGTAGGTAGGCAAATTTGATTGAGCCATCATCGGTCGTTGGCTCGTACCACTCCAGTTGTAGAGAGGAAGAGAGGGTTGCAATGGTTGAGTCTGTGGTGGAAGTAGAGGGCCGTGGTTCGAGCCCATGAGTGATGTGTTTGAAGACGAAGTGGTTCTGTTGGAGGAGAAGAGCTGAGAGAGGTAAAAGCCGGATTGGTAGCCGAGCGATTCAAAAGTGTGCCTCATCCGAAGTACAAAGTGCAGATCTTCAGGTATCTGAGTAAAACCGGCGGTTTAGAGAATAGATAACCGATAGATCCCAAGTAAGAACCTCTAGTGTACTTACAATTTTGCAAGAACCGAGTTGTAAAAGGCCATGTCCAGCTTGAATAACAGCTATAGTCTGTATTTGCAGTGAGAGAAAAAGAAAAAAAAATCACAAGGTGACTTGAGAAACAAGAAACCAAGAAAGTACAGAACATTCTTTTTTCTTTATATTACCTGAATTCCAGATTCAAACTGCTCATTCCACTCCGAAGGAATCTGCATTTTTGAGAGATAGATCTCAGCTAGGTTACAAATTTACAGATCCAAAAATTAGTTATACATAAATGTTCCATTGATTTTATTAACAAACGTACAGCATCGAATGAGCTTTGCCAGTAACTAGAGGCATTAGTTTCAGATTCAGTTTGTTCCTTGAAAACCCATTTATGGCATTTATCAGAAGCAACCTTCCCCATTAGCCTGTTCACCAAAAAAAATGTTGCAAAACCAAGAAAATAAAATAAA